TACAAATACTTTTTCCCCCTTGAATTTTGTATCGCATTAATTGGACCACATTTTGCAATTAGGAATTACAATTTGTAGTTCGAATCCGTAAAAACTTTTATTTGCATGGGGAAAATTAATGATGTATACGTTGTTTATAAACTGAGCCAGAACTTGTAGTTCCTAATTGCAAAATGTAGTCCAATTTTACATTAAAAAAATCCCAAAGAGGGTGTCCTAGAACAAACGTTTTAACAGTTTAATAATGATTGTCTTTTTAGAATTGATGTGCTTTTTTTTTTACGAAAGTTCGTAACGGTCGTTGCTACCAGGACAAAGCTTTAAAAAATAATTTAAAGCCTTTAACACTTTTCCTTAATTGGACGTATTTCTGCCAAACGGAACTGTGTGCATTAAGACATGAACCATAAAACCCATAAGAATATATGCATAATAGGGCTCATGTCATGATGCACATAGTTCCGTTTGGCAGAACTACGTCCAATTGAGTATATATCCATTTTTTCGTGTAACGTATCCTTGATACCTGAAATATGTATCGATAAAAAATCGAATGGCGACAAAAATGAGTGGATTGTATTCAATACATCAAACAGGTGAGCTTGTATAGATATCCATTGGTTCAAAATGTGAAAGTAGCCTCAAAAGTCAATCGAGTAATCTGGGGCAACGGATTTTTTTGTGATAGATTCTTTATTCTGATGAGTACCAAATGGCAATGAAAAGTGAAATTGTTCGGAACTTCCGCTTTTTCAGCTGCTCTAACTTAAATCTAAAAAAAATTTGTTCGAAGTTATGTCCCATTGTTTTGAGCCAAACGATACATCGAATCACTTTTGAATGCGATCCATATGCTACTATGGTGAGTGTTCCTCCATATCTGTAATCGAAAAGATGGAGAGGGGAGGTTTTGGGTGAAAATGCGGGAACGCAGCTTTACGAACACATATTGAACGTATTTCTGCCAAACGGAACTATGTGTACTATGACGTGAGCCCTGTTATGCACACATTCTTATGGGTCTCAGGGCTCTCATCTTAATGCACATAGTTTCGTTTGGCAGAAATACGTCCAATTAGAGATGCGGTTGGTCTTAACAGCTGTCGAATTATGTCTGTTTATAATCGGCAAATTCATGAGATTCCATTAACGTCTCAAATGTGCGTTATCTTATGAATCCTCGTCTCCAACTTTTCGCGCGTAAAGCATCCAGAGCTTTAATTTGCTCACCGCGTGCCGTTCAATTCTGCAGGGCTCATGAGCTGCTGCCAGATTTCGAAAGAACTCACATGATTATAATTTTTTTACCACTTCAAACGCCCACGAGGGCTAATCCTTGCGTTTTAGTCCCGTTTCCCCTCCGTCCCTCCAACCAGTCCCAGGCAACCATTGTTTGAGACCATCAAACTCACACACACATTGAAATTGATAGACAAAGAAGACATAGGGAGTATGAAGCTATCCTGCCGGTTGAAATGGGTAGTTCCTGTACACTAAGGGAGAAAATGATGGACCAACTGGACTCCATTTTGCAATTTGGAACAATGAATTCTAGCCCGGTTTAAAAACAACGTATGTGCCATTAGTTTCCCTATGCACAAAAGTGTTTTTCCATAAGAGCCAGAATTTATCGTTCCAAATTGCAAAATGCAGTCCAACTATCGGATCCCTCGTGGGTTGCCGAGACTTAGTCGATTAACTACCTCCTTTGTCCATCGCAACCGCCCGCTTCCACCAATAGGATTCCTCCATATCTCTTTTGTATTCTTTGTCTATAGCTTTTTCTATCGATTTCAATATTCGGCCCGCAGTTTTGTATCGAATACGATCTACAAGGACACGCCTGATTCAGAAGAGAGGGAAGAGAACATCTCTATCTCTCTCTCTTCTAAATGCCACATTGTCAGTTCGCATAGGAAATCAGCCTTAATTTGCATTACTTCAAAGGTGCCGTCGAGAGATCCGACCCAGATCGGCAAGAGTGCCCACGAGTCGTGTTCAACTAAAAACCCTTTCAACTAATCTAAAGTTTCGGGAGGGATCGTTTATCATCGGCGAGAGCGCGGGAGAGGAGTCATGCGTTCTGCTAGTCGAACGTATTCATGCCGAAAGGAACTACATCCCGCGCAAACCCTATGCACATAGTTCCTTTCAGCATGAACACGGCCAGTTGTTATTCGATTTAAGATTTTAATCACAGCCAACGTCTCGTGCCCCCGAAACTTGTTTAAAGTTGACGTCATTTTTCTTCGACTCGGAGACGTCGACGCGACGTCTCCCCGCTCGGATTCGACGTTATCGCCGTCGCGTCTCATCTGCTATTCAGTTCTCAGGAACACATGTTCCCCCCCCCGTCCCCCCGCCCCCGCGGAGGCGGAATTAAAAACCCCTCTGTCGGGATCCGGGGTTTTTTCGGGGCGCGCATCTCGTCGCGGAGTTTCTCGCCGAGTGACGTAAATAAATTTCCGGATGCAAATCAGGCCCAAGTTCTGATGACGGGGATCATGAGCAGACGGTCGGGAGGTCGGCGCGAGGCTTCGGGACTAATGATGCTCCTACCTGGAGTCGTGCGGGATGCGTCCGTGATTTTGAAGGGGCGAGATGGGAGGGCATTTCGGTACTCATGCACTGGAAAAATAACACGTTGGATCCAGATTCTAGACTGTTGAAAACATTGACAAGAAAATTGACTCTCGATTCAACCAGATTTAAGCTTAAATCGAGAGGAAATCCGCTCAAATTAAGAGGCTTGGTTCTTGATTTAAGCTTAAATCTGATTGAATCAAGAGTATTTTTTCTTGTCGGTGTTTTTAAAAGTCTGGACTCTAGATCCAATGTGTTTTTTTTTCCAGTATGGAATCAGTGCGACTATTTCCTGAAAATGATTTTGAATTTTGGAACTTTTGTAATTTCTCGGAATTTTACTCGAAATCCTCGAAATTCCCGGAATTTCCAGTTATGTTTGGAATTTGCTCAGAATTTTGGGATTTTTTTGTCAATTTGACCGATCGTTTCATCAAATTTCATCATTTTTGGTCAAATTTGAGGATTTTTCGAACTAAATTCGAGTATATTTAAACGTTTTTTCAGGAACTTTTGGAAATCGGAATCAATTTTCAGAACCCCGGAACCTTTGGTGAAATAAAATAGCAGCTCTGAATAAAATGAGGGGGAGGCTATTTTGAAACTTTTCATGATCAAAGACTGGGTCAGTGGACCCAGTATGAACAGTACATTCTCCATGAACTTTTTGGAATATTATGTTAGAGATTAAGGTTTCAGGTTAACCAATAATGAATTAAAAAAATTCCACATATTTTAGAGGATCCGGAAGAACGTCTGATGCGATTTCAAGTTTTTAGGGGATATTACATCGTTAATGCATGCATATCAGACTTTTACTGAGAAAACCTAAAACTTGTGTCATACGTTCTCTATAATTAGCTGAATAAAGAATGACGAATGATTTAGAGAAAAATGCGCTTAACGATGATACATTTTAAGGGAACTTATACTTAAGAAAAATAAATTCTAGCACATTGCTACGAAAATCTTTACTTTCTACTGTATCCAGCGTCTATATTCATTCACTATTACTATCATGAAATTGTGAACTACACCATGAATGGATCGACACCAATTCAAGTGACAAATCATCAAAAAACCGGCGTCGATTCGATCGATACCTGGGTTTTTCGATCGATTCACGTTTATACTTTTCGATCGATTCACGTTTTTACTTTTTGATCGATTCAAGTTTTTACTGTTCGATCGATTCACGTTTTTACTTTTCGATCGATTCATGTCGATAGAATCCATACCCTCCGCTTCGTCGAATCCATACCCTACGCTTCGAAAGGGTTCATTGATCACATTAACTTCATTTTGCTATTATGAAGCACACTTTCTGGCACACTTTTAGAAACAACTTATTCACCGTTAGTTTTATTATATACTTAGGAGTTTATACGGATGAGCCAGAAATTGTAGTTCCGGATTGCAAAATGGCGTCCAAATGATTACGCCATTTCATTGCTGAGTAACGAGGGAGCCTACACGGAGAAGTCGTTTCACATGCATACTTTTATTTAAAATTGTTTATATACTCGTACATTTTTAAATGAAGAGAAAGAAATTAGCTGAGTTTTTTTGTAATGTATAACATTTGAAATGATAATAATTCCTACAAACTACACACAAATTTCAAAATCACAAGTTGAAAACCGCTGACGCCGCAAAGTTGAGTAATGGCATCCAACACAGTGCGGCTGGGGCATAGTAGCGCCTTACAGGACCGCAAGATACTTCATGCATTGCGCGTACAGCATGGTGCGCGCGACGGATAGTATAGCGCCTTACAAGTCAGAAGAATACTTCATGCATTGCGCGTATACCACGGTGCGTGGTGTCGGACCTGACCTAACCCGATGCACACCATTTCCGAACAGTGCACACCGCGAGCATGCAATCCTAAGATCACGGATTGTAGATATTTTGCCATCCTGTATGTTTTCCAGTGAAATTATAATTTACGAGTGGAAATTTTCCAAGTTGGAATGCTGTTACATTCTATCGTCCGGAAAACACCAAACTTAGCCCAGGGAAGGAAAGAGGACATTTTTTGTTAAATCACAAACGCGGCAAGATTTCCAGGGAGATATTCTAGGTATCCCATTCACACAAAAATGAAGTCTGGCATAATCTGTCCAAACTTCGGCAATTTTTGCAAAATGATTCAGGCACGGCTACGGCAAGTTTTCTTTCATCTCAATTTTTTTTCTCTTTTTTCTCAATGAGAGGATACTTTCCGACTGATGGTCTTCCGACTTTTTCATCCTGCTTTGAGAAAAGTCAAGGTTAAGTTTTTTTTTATTGTAAAAAATGAGATCATATCTCTAAACTTAATATCATAATTCAACATCTGCTTTAAAACGACGTGGTCAGTTATTGGGACTTTGCAAGACATTTTTCATTTATGAGACCTTTTTATATTTTTTCAGTGCCTCCAAATATTGACGACGCCTTAAGCAGCTCTGACGTAATCGTGAGGGAAGGTGCTAGTGTAAATCTCACATGTCGAGCTAGTGGAAAACCACCACCGACAATTAAATGGAGGAGAGATGGTGGTGCTCAATTATCAAGAAGCAAAAATCTTCAAGGTAAGAAGTAAACAACATGAATTATATTGGAAAAGATATTCCATTTCTCGACTATATTCATAGATGAGTAAATTAATGTTATAGGTCAGTTGCACTGGTCACAGAATCGTGTTTTCCTCCAAGTTTCACGTTGAGTAACCAGTGCAAAAATCTGTGTCTTTCTGACTGATGAAAGCAAGGTGGAAAAAACCGAGGGTGTCACTACCGTGGTGGATGACGTCATAAACCCAATTTTTCAAAGCGCGATATATCGGTTAATATTGAACGTAGAAAGTTGTTGTTTGGACAGGTCTTATTACTTTTAACTGATCTACAAGAATCAAGCGTCAAAACACGATTCTTTGCACCAGTGCAACTGACCCATTAAAATATTCGTAGTGGTAAATACATGGCTAGTCTAAATTGAAAGATTCTTAAACAAATATGTGAACTCGCCAAAAAGTTCGTAGTTTCTTAGAAGAGTATACAATGTGTCAGGATGAAGTTTCCCAACAAAAGACACTAAGATAAAAGGAATGTCGTCTACGCGATAGCATACGTGATAGCCGTCAAAAGTTCGCCACACCCTCTTCCATTTAAATGGAACCCAAGAGTCTTAAAGGCACCTAGTATCTATCTTTCGCTTATACAGGCTCTTTTTTCAAGTGTTAATGACATGGTTTTGTTAAAGCACCTTCGAATAAACGTATTTACCAACCAACTAACCACTTCAGATCAGTCACTACGCCAGCCACCTCTCTTCCACAGTTTATTCTGCTTTGATTTACTGCTGAAGCCTTGGAGTCATCTACGTCATCACGGCTTAATCCGTAATATCCACTGATTTGCCGTGCTAAGGAAAAACGCGGTATGAGCATTCGAGAGTTGCCAAATTTCCTCTCAGAAAAAAATTTATTATTTTTGAAGAAAGTCATGAATATTTCTCCTTGTAATTTTCAGGCACTTTAAGTGGAATTGAGAACAAAATTATCGGAAAAAATTGGAGGTAAAATCTTTATAAATTTTCCCGAAAATTGGTGATTTACCGAGGGAAATTTGGTAACGCCTGAAGGTTTGTACGGCGTTCTTCCTTAGCACGGCAGTGTTCCACTCAGAGTTAACGTTGTGTTGCTGTGACTTTAAAATCCATCATCAAACATAAGACCGTAGACGTACCTGGAGATAGTATTTTTAGAAACCTAGTACCTCTCCTTCGTGTAAAAGTGACTTTCGAGAGTCCACGCACGATCAAATTTACCAATTGATGACTGACGAATGAAAAGTTGAGCATTTGGTCTAGCAACCAGAATTCCTGATTTGTAAAAAATTGCCTATCAGAGCGCTCATCCAGACATTTGTGAGACATTAAATGGTGAATTTTATTTAGTTTTCAGCTCAGTAAGTTGCTCATCAACTGTCATGAGGAGAAGAACAGGACCGCGTCTAGCAGAGAGGAGCCTAGCCACATCAACCATTCCCAAAATCAACCGGGCAATTTGTTTTTCTACGATAGAGCTTTTGCGCGGATCCCTTTGGTAATTTTGAGGAATTCATGGAGAAAAAAAACTTCGTGCGTGGGTCGCGGAGTTGAGGTCATACGGATCTCTGAAGTTTTCGGATCTCGTATCTAAAAACTTGAGGTCCAGCTGCCGAAGTTCGATCAGACATCTGAAGTACTTCGATATATACCAAAGGGGTCAGGTCACACATCTGAAGTACTCTGGTACATACCGAAGTGCCTCGATGTCTGACCCGAACTTCGGCAGCTCGACCTCAAGTTTTCGGATGCGTGATCAGAAACTTCAGAGATCCATATGACCTCAACTTCGGGTCCCATGCACGAAGTTTTTTTCTCCGTGTGCTCCGTATGCAAAAAATTGATTGAAATTTGCACAAAAATGCTTTCATCCGTTTTCGGGTAAAAAATTAAATTTCACAATTAAATTTAGCAATATCTGATGTGGTTTGGACCCTATCTGCCTGCCTAACGCGGTTCCTAGCTATGGCTGTCAGTGCGAGGTGCTAAAAATATATTGTCTTTGGCTCCGGTTTATTCGGTTCCTGTTTCTCTTGCCGAATCGTGGGCGTCGTCCGCGTCATCACAATTTGATCCGTCGGGCTCACGGTTTCGTTCGGCATCAACGCTGTGACTGTGCGATTCATCCTCGTGGACGTCACGGAGTAGTCCACGTTCTCACCCGTCGTCGTGGACTCCCCCTCCGTCGTGGACGCCCGCCGCGCCCTCTCCTTCATCCACTCCCTTGGCCCGTTGGTGAACGAATCGAAGAACGCCTTCTCGTCAGCCTCGCCCACCGTGGGCTCCGGCGTGCTCGGGGTAGTCCGCCACGTATCGCTGATACTGAAGTCCACGATGTCTTGGAGGTAGTTGCGCGCGGTGTATTGCAGCGTCCGCCAGCGGAAGGCACGAGCGTAGTGGTGGGTCAGGAGGCACTTGCACTGGAGATAGATGAGCTTGAGACCGGCCTTGCAGCTCCCGTAGCGGACCAACCGCGGACGGTTCTGGTGGTGTTCCTCGTAGAGATCGCCCACGATCTTGCAGCCGTGATGGCATGTGGCGTTGTTCAGCTCAAATGAGGGGTTTGAGTAGTTGCTCCAAGGGTAGTACAGTCGACAGCCGTCGTGTTTCATTATCGAGCGGAGGAGTTGGTGACGGAGGGGCTGAAATCATCCAAGCCGAAACAGATAAGTCAGGGTTGCCACAGGCAAGGAATTCCGAAAAGTCAGGAAAAACCTGGAATCGTCAGCGAAAAACTGACAAGCACCTTTATTCGCTGTCTAAAATGGGTCTGACATTTCGGACAACAAATGCCCGGAAATGATTTCCAATTATGTCTTTTTAACCATCTGGCGTACCTTCAATTTTCAGGGAATTCAATCAAAATTTGTCAAGGAAGTCAGTGAAATGTCAGGGAATTTCATTTTCTAGATTCGGTGGCAACCTTGATAAGTATAGTGACTTTACAGAGAAAGTATCATCAAGTGGATATGAGTTTTGATTGGTTCCTCCATCTTTAACTTCATGGAGCATTTGGAACCAAAAAAAATGGCGGACGCTATACATAAATGTGAATACAAAATGGCTTAAAATGTAGTTTCATGTGCATATCGTAACGAGCATTTTACTTGCTAATCATGTGCTATTCGCAAGAAAAATTATCTTGAATGTAAACTTTACTCAATTAACCGTCAAAAGGTTCCAAACCCTCGTCGCCATCTTTTTACTGGGAAAAAGATGGTCGCGAGTTTTTTGACGAATCTGAGCGTTGATTCCGGAAAGTAAATTTTACATTACACAGAAAATAGCGGTATGAGGGGCCTCTAAAATAAATTTTCGCTGTCTGAAATAGGCAGGATAGGGTTATCTAGCAGCATCTATAGAAGAAAGTATGTCTTCGTGCCATGAAAGATTACCGTATGAGCTTTCAGACGTTGCCAACTTTCTTTAGGTAAAATACGAATCGTCAGGATGTCCTCCGAATAATTTTCTTACAGTTTTCCGGAGTTTATCATTCAAAATTCAATCCAAACTTTTAAAGAGAACAAAAGAAAATAATTATAGAATTCTTCAAAGAGTAAATATTTTATCGAGGACACTTTGGCAGCATTCAAATGTTCATACGGCGCTTGGCGTTTCTCCTCAGCACAGCAGTATTGCACGGAGAAGAAAAAATACTTACTGGGTGATACTGCTAAAAGACACTTTTTGCTTATGCAGAGCTGTTTGTGTGACGCAAGCACAAACACATCGCACCATTTAAGAAATCAGAAAAAAATTCACCTTGCATTCAAACTTACCAGTTCATCAATGGTTGGTTTTCTAGTAACGTTATTGGTTTTTGTTCCAACACATCCAACTTCAAAAACCATGAGCAAACATTTCGACAGCACCATTAGAGAATATGTTCCACTTATTTTTATCATGCTCAAGATTTCTCATGCTCGTTTTTAAAGGCAAAATGAATACAGAAGTTGAAATAACTCATAGGTTAGGTTATCACATTGCCAACTCTTTTGGATTGGCGTGACACTCCTGTTCAATAATTTCTAATCAACTGATGCTCTCGATAAAGCATATCAAGTTTTGTAGAGCCTTTGTAGTTCAAAAGAATAATATTGCTGCCTTTCAGATAACAACGCTACACAGGGTGTTAAATATCAAAATGCCTGTACAATACTTCAGGGAGTCGCTCTTTGGTCTAGCTCTAGGAGAATTTTCCTCTGTTTGACATTTTTACATACATCTGTTTTTAAGGCGGTAATTTGCCAGTGTCTAAATTAAGGGTCTTGGAGGACAAGGCGCATAAGTGCAGTTTTTAAAAAAAATATTGAGTTATTTATGATTTCAAGTCAAACAGTCCTAATGCATATTTTATGAAAACTTCGCTCCCAATTTCCAATTTTCCAGCATCAAATAGTCAGTTTGAACTTTTTTCCCGCCATAAGGATACATGTAATTTCAAAACTTCAAACACGTATTTTTCAAAATAGCAAAAACTGCACTCATGCACATTGTCCTCCGAGCCCCACAATGGACCACTAGACAAGGTACGAATTTAAGCAATCTGATACATGTTTCTTAACCAGAATTTCAGGTAAAACACGATTCACACAACGAAAATTACTGAAACCAACTCCTAAGGAAGATATTAACGTTTTTATTTCACATTGGTTACGAGGAATTTGACCTGCCCGCTTACAAGAAACTCAAAGCTCTACGTGAGTCAAATCACGCACTACAACGGTTTCAGCAAGCCTCTCAATCGAGCAATGTTCATTTTCCACCATGTGGTGTTCAAACTATGAACAACGTGCTATAGCTGAGCCAAAGCGTCATGATCGAGGTCGCCAGATTTTTATATCGCAGAGACTATCATGATAACGTTTAGCGCTTGATGTGAATAACGTATAGAGCATTGAGTTCTCATGAGCGGGTGGTTTGAATTCACGCACCAAAAATCATTTAACATCTTCGTAAGGAGTTCATTTCGGTAATTTTTGGTGTGCGCATAGTGTTTTACGTGAAATTTTAGTTACGAAACATGTATCAGAATGCTGAAATTCGTACCTTGTCTAGTGGTCCATTGGTATTCATCATGCAAAAAGGAACCAATATTTCCGTTTCATTTCGGGAACAACGGATGTGTCGTAAATTATCCTCCGCAAATAGGTGCCTACACAGATGCACCAGCAATTCTGGTTCCTCATTGTAAAATTTAGTCCAATTATTGTCGCGAGCTAGATAACTAGCGAACCCGCCCGGTATGACTGAATTTCCCTCGAATTCGAAAGTTTCCCGCGACCCTCGAGGAATCGCAGCCGCTTGAGCTGACGTTAAATAAAACGTTACCGTCACGAAGTTACTTTCAAAGTGTTCGAAGGAGCTCTCAACCGATCCCCGGAGAGGAACTTTCCTATGAATGCAAAACCACTCCTCGAGTCACGAAGTGTCTAACTGATAGGTGGGCGACACAAAACATGAATGAATGACGGAGAAAACTTTGGTCGGGACGGAGACGCAACTCTCAAAAATGCGGACGACTTTTTATTCAGCCGAGCTGCTCCGCAGGTGATAAGGGCCCGGTCGAGATTAAACTAATAACGCTTGTTACAGCAACGGGATTCAAGTGGGTGAGGGGCTGAAGGAAACGAGGATTTTTTACTTATAGCGCGGGATGGGATGCTTGTTAATGTCTGTCTCAATTTTTATTTATATTTTGCTTCGATTGACTAACGTGGTTGAGGTATCCTCGGAAAGTCAGAAGTGGAGAGCCGGGAACCATACCGAGTACCACTCGATCCATCGATGCGAAATTGTGTTAATTTTTTTCGACACTTAGTAAGCAAGTGATTCCAATTTTACTCTAGCTTTAAGGTTGCTTTCATTCACGAAAAGCACCTCGTTAAGGTAGTGAGGGTTGAACTGCGAAGAGAAAACGTAGAAAATAATCAATTTTAAAAATCAGAAAATAAATTTTAAAAAAATGTGTAAGAAAATAGAAAGATAGAAGACTCGTATCGATTTTCAGCCGATGTGATAGAAACTGGGATAATTTAGTTATTTTATTATAGCAAAAAACAGATCAGGACTTTGATATTTGCGGTCGGCTGTCCTTAACATAAAGATATCACAAAAAATCAGCAAAGGACTAATAATGCCTTTATTTATGAATCATAATTAATTGGACTTATTTATGCAAAATAGTACTATGCGCAAATGAATTAAATCGGAAAAAAACTATTTACATAGGACTTGTCTGCTTCATAGTTTCTCTTAATTCGATATATTTGTACACACCCCCGTTTAGACTAAATGAATTCAATTCGATTGCTTATTATTGTCAAATACTTAGTTCGTAAACACATACATCTTAACATTGGCATGTCGATCAAGATCGCTATATAATAATTGCAATCCACGCTTTCATCGAACTATTTCACAACGCTGCGGAAATTGTTGACGGCTATTCTAAATTCTTAGTATTTTATGTTCATAGTTTTTTTTATATGTAACACAGATACCTCGTGTGCACGAACAGCTACCAATGTGCGTTGCGATTAGATAAACCAGAGCGCCTTCAACTTGGTGCACGCAACACGAACATCCTAAGAGTACGAATAGTTGTATTCAGGCCTTGGCGTTAAGATAGCAGACGCGCCTTCAATTTATTTCGCTTGTGTGGCGTTATTGTCTTTAAGCCGTCACTTTTTCAAAGACAGGTGGATTCAAGTATTTAATACAATTATTAAAACTTAATGAATAATATATAGGATAGTTCCTCTGGCAATTACTCGTATTATTTCATCCAGATCTGAATGAGGAATCTATTGGCATTCACCATTTTACTTTTTTGTGAGATTTTCTTCTTTAACTTATTGTTCGCACATCATTTCGTTTTAAATATTAACACATTTTTTCTTGGTATTCGAAAGAGTTGATACGTTGTACAGTGTGTAAATATGAAAAATTAAAATAAAAAAAAACACATTTTCTAAGATAGGTTTCCCAGAACTATGAACTCCTAAATGATTTTGTTGAAATTCCCCTAAAACATTTCTTAATGTTTACTAAAAAAATTGTTTTACTAAAGATTTAAGTACAAGTTTTATAAGACAATCTTGTTTTTTGTGTGCTATTAGGGAGTGGGGCACAGGTGGGTGTATTGCCAATCCACGTGGTCCGAAACAAACTCCGGCATTTTGAACACGGTATCCTTCGAGATGTGACAACTCCAGTCCCGGGCGAGTCGACACGCTTTCTTTTCCCAGTCGCGTCATTTGATTATCCCGCAGTCGGGGCTGAAAAAAAGGAGCTCCCCATTTCAGCCCTCGAAATCCCCTTGTAGGAGCTCAAAAGGTGGAGTGCCGACGCAGAACAAAGGTCCCGTTCGACAGCGACACCCCCTCTCCTCCCCCGCCCATAAAACAACCGATAACATCTCGCCTTCGATCGCGTGTATTTTAAAAGAAGCAAAATATTTGAGCATAGTTAAAACAACATGAAAGGTGATGTCACGACAGCCACTTCCAGTCAGCGTTGCCGGTGGAGATTCCTGAAATTTGACAACGCTGTGTTCCATCCTTCAAATTCTTCTTTTTTTTTAAAGTAAAATTTCATGTTTGTCATTTTCTCTCTTTGACTTGGTTTTTTAGGTTTCTTCCCCCCCCTCCCCCCATAAATTCAATGTCATGGCATATTTCATCTACTTCAGTGTAACCAATTTGTAATGTTTCTTTCAACCTGTTTGGATCGTATTTAACAAGAAAGAACCAGCGTAACTACAGTGTTATCAAAATCGTGCAACTTCTTGTTTTCTTTTAAAACTACGAAATATAAGTACAGCATTAAAATCAATACAATTATTATCCTTTAAAATTAGCAATTCTTTGGTGGAATAACAATACTTTTTGCTATTTTTGGATTTTTTTTTTTTAGATAAGTATGCAAGAGCAACATTTTAACAACGCTGTAATTGCGCTGGCTCCTTTTTGCTAAAGGCGATCCATTTAACCTATCAACGAGTTACAATGTTCATTCCTTCAATAATATCATAAAGTGATGTAGAGAGTCTATGTTACATGGCGAATGATAACTTCATTTACAACAGGGATGACTAAAATTTTTGAACGAGAACTGGAATTCAAAATAAAAACGTCATTGAGTTGAACAGTTTGTCGAAAAAAGAATAAATTGTGTCAAAGAAAAGCGTATCATGATTGCATAAGGTGCTATATAAAAAAGAAAAGTGTAAGAAATGTTTACAAACAAAACCTGAAAAAGAATTAGAATCGCTTTTTGCAGCATAAAATGGTGGATATACCCACAAAGCATTGCAGGGATGATAGCATCATAGCATGTAATTACAACGTTACGCCCAGATTCGAAAAAATATCTGGAAAGAGCGTCCTCCACGTGTATCGCGGTGAAAGCTCAAAAAAGGAGGTCAATTATTGCTCACATTCTTTGATTCTATTCGAGGATAAAGTCAATGGAGGGAAAATGAAATAGCATGAAAACAATTCGCACAGGTCTGTTCTTTTCCCCTATTTATTTATAACCTCGTTGAACAGCATTCCATTTCATGAAAAGTTATGGAAACTCTTAATGAAGTTATGCAAGATACTATTTTTATACCTGCAAAAAAACTCAATGAATAATATTTACGTCGTGAGACAGGAAAACATTTAAAAAAAAAAAAAATTAAAAAATAAGAAAATAAAAAATTGAAATATGCGTGCAATGCCCGAAAAAGGCTTTCGACATCTTTAAACTGCGTCCTCGTAAAAATAAATATAGTTCATACCATTTATAAAATAGTTATAAATGTGTTTCACTTACAAATGCCATTGTATTTATAAATGTAAGATTGGAATAATCATTATCTTTCTTACTATCTAAGGTATCAAAAATGGCTCTAACTGTCCTTAAGACTGGCTTGACCTCTATGGAGATAATTTTCCAATCCCACGGTGTAAAGATAACTGCAAGAATAGTTAAGGCATCTTTTAAGGATCACGAGATACATTTTTGACACCTAGAATCCCATCCTGGCGTTTAACTTGTTTTGAGGTAGAATTTTAAGTCACAGAGAATTTCGATAATCCAGGATTGTGCGAAAGGTCGAAGAAAAGATATGAGGATTGCGCGAAAAAGGCCCAAGGATTGCGCGAATAGAAACCGTAACATCTGCTGCAGGAATGCGAGACTTTAAAATGAAGTTAATTTAAGGAAGAAGTTTGGCAAAACAGGAAACAGTTGGAAAATAAACTCATTTTTATGTTATCGCTAGTTTAGGTTAGTATGTTGTCAAGTCATCGATGTTTACCTTTCAACGATAAATGAAGAAAAAATATTGAATATTGGTCGTGGGTAGAAAGAACTTACCTTACTTTTCTCGGAAAAAATATTTAATCGGGAGAAACGAGGCAACGTTGGAATGCTCATGCGGCGTCGAAACACAACATGGGCCTTTCATATTTGATGCTGCGATTATTCAAACGCAAGTGCAAATAATCGCGCCAAATACATAGCGGCCGGCGCGGCGTTAAACGTATATTAGCGCCTGCAAGACTGCATGAATACTTCTCGCATTACGCTAAACGCTGTGCAGTCGGTCAGTTGGCGTGAAACGCACATTAGCGCCTACAAGATCGCAGGGATGATGTAGGACTGCGTGTCATCATTCTTGACTTCCTTCTCCAGTTTTGATGAAGTGAACGTGGATGGACACAGAAACGTGGATGATATTTATTTTTTTTTTTTTTTCGGTTACATTAAAAGAAAATAGAACGAACGAAAATATCGCGTCGAAATTTTCGATACTTTTATTTGAGCTCCCATACAGTCGGCGCTTAGTTCTTCTTGATTAAATGTAAAATCCCAGTTTTCCATTTTGCCAAAAGAAATCACGCCCACTTTTACATTGCTCCTTATGTAGCTTTCTAGCGCACCCCATCTTCCCCACCCGTGTTTAGCTCGCTTTTCAGTAAAAATACGTCCAAATGTGAAATAGTAATAATAAAAGAAAACACTACATTTTAAGCTGTCACAGGTTTAATGCCATGCTAAGAAAGAACGCCGTATAAACATTCGAGAGTTGCCAAATTTTCCTCGATAAATTTTTTATTTTTTAGGAAAGTTATGAATATTTTTCCTTTAAATTTTTAGAATCTTTAAGTAAAATTGCGAACTAAATTATCTGAAAAATGGGGAGGAAATTATTCATAAATTTACCCGGAAATTCGCGTTTTATCAAAGGAAATGTGGCAAAGGCTGAAGGTTCATACGGCGTTTTGCCTTAGCACGGCAGCTTATTGAAGTCACATAATTCAAAAAATCGATAGAAAATTTAGTGGCGACCTAATCCCCGATGTTTTTACGCAACCACCGTAATTCAAAACAGACAGTTTCGGGCACAACACGAAAACAGAATTTCAGACTCTTTAACACACTGGGGGGAAAAAAAACACATTGGATCTAGAGTCCAGACT